TGCATAAAACATCGTTTGAAACATTAAAATAATAAATTAAACAGAAAACAGGCAATAAAAATTAACTAATTCTGTAGTTACCAAAACTAAAACTGACAGAAAGCAACACTACACAATAGTTTGAATTTTATATGTATACAAACATCTCAAAAACAATGTATTAGTAATAAGCCAAACAACTACTGGATAAAATAGTTTGAAATTTGTTTGTCCAATGAAAATGTATGAAGATCCAAATTTGTCATAAATAAAGCTAGGGTATCTAAGCACTAAAAATCATTTTAAGTAATGATTTTTGTAACTATTTAAATGATTTTTAATGTTTGTTATGATTTTCTAGCCTTAGTTATAACTGTTATAAGTTAAGACATCTAGCTGTCCTAACCATAAGAAAACTGATTTACAAGCTAACAAAGTATTGTGTGTGAAAGACAAAGACGACCTGTACCAGTTCTTGTGTATGTATTGCCAGTGCTCTGTTTCAGCCTGAATGCATTGGTACACCATACTGGCAGATAACATGAAAAAGTATCCATAGCCACTACATAATACCAGCAGTTGCTCAGTAAAAACAATACTATATGTTCAGTCACCATATATATATGTACCAGCAGTGATTTTTTAGAAAAAAGCACTATGTATCACTGTTAAAATTCTGACAATTGTAACTTATTTCCATACTGGTTTGAAATTCTAACTTCTGTTTAGACAAGTTTTTTTTAATTCTACCTATTTCAGTGATTGATCAACTGTTACTGTCTTAACATAATGTTCACATTGTTGTCATGAATTGAAATTTGAAGAAAAAAGTAGTTCTGATCAAAAGTCTCCATAGACACAAATTCAAAAATGGACAGTTTTTGAGTTATTGAGCATCCAAGATGAAAAAAATAGCATAATTCATATGCAAGTTATAAGCACTGAATCTTTTTTGTTTCAAAATATAAAATGATATTTTTTCAAACATTATTGCTGTTCGGCACATTATTTGGATTTTCTTGTGGGGAAATCATTCATTATGCAATATATGTGAGCTTGATTCTTGTGATGTTTGGGTTGGTAACACATGAGTAGATACAACATGCTCCACTATGTAATGCTTGGGCATTCTTCTGACAAGAGATTCACTCCACTGAGACTGATAATTGAATGATAATGATTGAAAAGACACTCTGTTGGGATATTTTGTGGCCAGAAAAAATATGGGCATTTGCCAATATGAAAAATGAAACTTCAAGAAAACTAGTGTTTACTTTTGAATAAATGAGAACTAGTTTTCTTGAAGTTTCATTTTTTGTATTGGCAGATGCCCATATATTTTTTTAATATTAACATTATTAATATAAAAAATATTTTATATTATCTAATATCTCATCTGTCTGAAATAGAATAAAGAAAAAAGAAATGATAATTCTTTCAAATTAATATTAATTAATTTCCATAATTCTGAAGTATCTTGATATAGTTTACAGAAATTGTTTTCATTATTATATTTATGATGAAATAAAGCATTTTTTTCATTGCAAATGGCTTGAATAGACAGATGAAAATGCCGACAAACTAAACATGGCTATTCAAAGATGTGAAGGATTTTTAACAAATCTGTTAAGAATATGTACAAACTACAATAGATTTAATGCAGTTTGTACATATTCTCATATTTTCATCTATTGCAAAACATCAATAACATTTGAAAACATATCATTTTATATTTTGAAATTATATGATCTTTCTTCCTCAAACTGCATTAGTAAACTCCAGCCAGTGGATCAATGGATCAAGGTGTGATTACCTTAATGAAAAACCATTACAGATGGCATCTTGTCCAACATATGATTCATCAAATGGAAGATGAAAATAAATTGGCATTAATAAAATGAAATATTTTGTAATGACTGTGTTCAGTTTGAAACAACACTGAACCTACCACTATTAAAAATTGTTTCAAAAAAGCTTGTTTTTAAGTTTAAGTGTAAAGTACTATATTATTTTTCCGACTTTTCCAACGATTATTGACACAACTGTGTGCCGGAAATAGCGGTTCTGTAACGGGTACTTTACGCGGATTCACATTAGTGTGCCAGGCCTGGACTTTAAGTGGGCACCGAATTAAATAATGACAAAGTTAGTCAATAACAATCCAATATTTAATAAATATTCTGGTAATAACTATATACAAAATTTAGTAAAAATCAAATAACAATTTATGTAATGAAAATCAATAAGAATCAACCCGATATAAACTCAAATCAATCTATTTTCTAACTTAACTCTATTTCCCTTTGGAACTCGACAAAAATCAAAGACTTAACTTATGTACAATAATTCTTATAAATTAAAGGTCCTAATCATCACCTCAATATACTAGGAACCTTTTTCCTCAACTCAAGACTTTCTCTAATCTTCAATCCACAAATCGAATAACTTCAAAATTGCATTGGAACTACTTTATCCTATTGGACACCTCTCTCTCGTTTACTGCTACGAAGCTTACCATGCTCGTTGCTAACAGAAGCTCACCTCGACTATCTTCACTTGAGGTTCGGTCTTTATACTGTGAGGTGACATCACAATTCTGAGAGTGATCACTCCCCTCATTTACATACTTATTTGCTAACAAACTTTTTTCTGTTTGTCTGGCAGCCTATTTTCCGACAATACTCGCTAACCTTTTACATTATTCTTTTTGACAATTTTTGGGTTGTTTTATTCTTTTAAGGTTTAGCAAGTTTCCTAAGTTGTGCTTGTGGGGTCTCCCCCCTTTTTCTCGGTGCGGACTTACTTTTCTTCGCTCTGGAGCGCAAGTGTGCGTGAGTTTTAACTATGGCGCTTTTCTCTCGTCGGTGAGTTTGTTTCTCTTCTATTTTTAAGTTTCTAAGGTGAATGGTGAGGAAATCTTTGTCCTAACAAAACATAAGCCCCAAACAAAAATAGAATAAAAGCAAAAATAAAAGTAACTAAAAATAACGCTCAGACTTGGTTCCTTACACCCCTTCCCCTTTAGATTAAAGAGAAATTTATTTCTCTTTCATTTAAAGCCAAAATCTCCAACTCTATCTCTTCTAAAGGAGTGCACCTTATATACAATTGCTGCCAGGTTTACAAATTACTACATCCCTTACAATGACTGACATAAGCAGGAGTGACTCGTTGCTTAATAAATTTATTTTACATTTTACTTAGTTATACAATTTGGGGAAAATGTTGACATACATCACATGCGTGTTCCAAGGTTTGTTACTATTTTCACTCTTTTGTATGGCGTGAACAGGGGTGAATCGTTAATACATTAGGGCCACTCATCCAAGCATCAAATGCTTCTTTCTTTCTTTATATAATTTCTTATATAACATGTTTTATTGAGTAATTTAAAGAATTTTCTTTTTTATTCTTTTGATTGTAGTTTTTTTTTACACCTTACACAAAATTTAACTTAAATGAATATATATATGTTCTAAACTCTCAATTTAATTTTTTGTCAGAAATTTTGAAATTTGTCAGAAAGTTTATTAATCCTAAATAAATAACATACTAATTAACAAACTATTGAGAATTTGATGTCCTGAAATTCACTAATTAGGACTTTATCTGTATTATTTTCCATAAAATTAAAATTAATTCAACACTTAGTTTTAGTCTAAAAGTAATATATTATTCCATTGTAAAATAAGTTTGTTAATAGGAAATGTAAATTTTATTACAGTGCAATATTTTTAATTATGCTTGTTAGTTTCAAATATTTTTGCAGTTTTCTTTTGTATAATCACATCTGGTTTTTGTTGTATTTAATGATTTTATTAATATATTTCTACTTTTCTGGCTCTGTGCTCTTTCTCTATTTTCAGGGAGGCTTGTATATTGGGGATTGATGTTATTAAATTTTGGTGGTTAAAGATCAACAGGGTATGGAGATAAAGAGGACCATGTGTTATATTACAAGTAGGGTCGGACTTAATGAAGTTTACTCATTATTAGCTTTTACAATTTTTATATCCCTACCCTCAAAATTAAGCTTTTTGCCATTTTATTATAATTAAAAATATAAAAAGGTTTTTAAATAAAATATCATTACAGATGACATTGCTAAAATTTTAAATGTTGTTAGGAAAGTTAAGCAACTCATTGCTGGATTTTTTATTAGGAATTAATTGGTTATAATAAATAACTTATTTAATAAAAAAGCCAGCAATGAGTTGCATAGCTTTTCCAGCAAAAATATTTATGTTTAAGAAGTACTAAGATACATTTAGTGCAAAGTTAAAACATGTGAGTGGTGCCATCTGTTATGAGATTTTATTTTAAAAAATTTATTATTATTATTAATCATTATAAAAAGGCAAAAGGTTTAATTTTGATGATANTTTGCTCTAAAGTTAATTCAGGGTCATGTTAGCAATAAACAATTGTGTAGGATATATTTAATATACACTTCACTCCTTACTGAACTTTAAACTGGATTCAGGTGCATAAATACTAGACCAACAATGTTTGATGTATATTATTTATTATGAGATTTAATTTTAAAAAATTTATTATTATTATTAATCATTATAAAAAGGCAAAAGGTTTAATTTTGATGATAGAGATGAGTTTCTTTAAAAAAATTGTAAATGCCAATAACAAGTAAAATTTTCATTAAATTTGATCACACTTAAGATATGACATATAACTGCCCTTTTATTTCCCTACTTTTTCAACCTTTATCCATTGAAATTTAATAGTATCAGTGCCCCTTATATGCAAGTTACCATGTCAAGTTTCGTTTCTTAATCTTTACCCCATCCTAAGATATTAAACAAAACTGATGCAAACACAACACACATAGTATCAGTTTTTTGACTTCTTGGGTTGTGAGTGATCTCAAAACATTGAGATTTGTAAAAAGCCCAGAGGATCGAATGTGACGTGATCACAGTATTATGTTATAACAGCTAGGAAAGTAAAGTTGAATTTTTTGTTTGTTTTTAAGTATTTAAAATAACTTCAAATTATATTTACAGGTTAAAATGGGACTTTGGATTGATTTAACAAACACAACTAGATTCTATGATAAAAGCAGTGTCGAAGAAGCAGATATAAAATATTTAAAACTTCAGTGTCGTGGGTAGGTTCTTTGTAAAGTGTTTAAAGCATGCATTATTTAAATAAAACATTTTTTATACTTATTAAAATTAATTGTAATTATGATGTTTATTTGAAGAAATCATATTCTATTTCAAATTTGATATTATGTAGCATATATTTTTTTTAATCCTAAAACATATATAAGATGGATATTAAATTTACAAATTTTAAAAATAATAAAGACAGAAAATTAATATAAATGTGAAATTTGTTGTGTTTTAACAAATAATAATAATTATTATAGTGTTGTTATTGAGAGGATTGTAATAGGAACTTTAATAGCGGACTGCATGCCATTACAGTAGACCCCCCTATAACGCTTAGATACGTTCCACGTTATTCGAATTTTACGTTGTAGGAATCATTAAATACATGAGCCAATCGCAGCCCGACACGTGTGAAGTTTACGGACTAAGGCTGTTTGAAAGGTTTTCTTCTATAAAATTAACCGATTCTAGACTAATTCCACTCAACATTTCCAAAACACGTATAATTTTTTGGGAATAATCCGTATAAACTATGCTATAAACAAAAAATTGTAGGATTACTTACCGAGTGTGCACCGTTCGACTACGCCGTTGCTCAAGCTTGTTTTCGTCGCGGAACAGCGCACGAAACGGCGGCCGCGATTTCTGATAACGAATTTTTCGCAGAAAAATAACTTGACCTTTGGAGACATCATTAATATAAATAATTTTTATGGCCGTTGAATAAGAAGTGTTTCTTTCACAAGAAATGTATAAAATTAGTGCTGTATTAGACTTACGGTACCTAATTTACATACTGTACAGACGATAATAAACTCAACTTACTAGCCTAAAATCTCCGTAGCGTGTTGCCAGGCGGCAGAAAGCATATATATAATTATAATAAAGTTACAATAAATTAAGTTAATATATAATTATATATACAGTACCTAATTTATATATAATTAATATATAATTATATGTACAGTACCTAATTTATATATAATTTATATATAATACTAAACAGACGATAGCAAACTCAATTTAGCCGCTCCGTAGCGTGGCGCAGGGGCGGAGGAAAGTAGTTCGGCTGCTCATCCACTATTGGTCCAGATTCTATCAATCTTGTCGCGACATGAGTCGGCGACGACGTTTTAGGAGTTTCTTTATACGAATATTGCTACAATTTTTTCACTACGTTATAGGAATTTCTGTTATAGGAACCCACATTATAGGGGGGTCGACTGTATACTGTATGTTAATTGAATATTGTATTTGTGCTTCCATAGTTGTTCATTAAGTACATTATTGAATCATTTTCTGATTGAAACTTAAATCACTGCTAAGTTTTTTATATGCTTTCTTTATATTTATTTCCCTTCTTGATTAATCATTATACAGTAGAGTCCCCCAAACTTGACTAATGTAGATTTAGGTGATGAGTTTTACAACATAGTGATGATGCAAGTCTAATAGCAGGATTTTTTAAAGGTCTTATATATGCAAATTCGGATATGTACTAATTACATATGAAAAGTGGTCATTTCTACTTATAGTTAAATTTTTAATTTAAAACAAAGTATTGGCTATTCAGTGGCTACTTTTGAGTTAGTGACATTCATGTTGTGGCATTTTGCAGTGGCACTTTGGAAAAATGATTATATTTTTGTTAACACATGGAATTCATGCTATTATCAAGTGTCAACAGAGAAGAATAACTTATTTGATCCTAGTGTTATAGAGGTAAAAATTAGATTACATGTATTTTTTTTTTTTTTTTGAACAAGGCAATGGATTTTATGGAATGTCAAGTTATTGAGAGTCGAGTTTCCGGAACTCTACTGTAATTGCTTTTTTTGTTGGAGAAACTGCAAAATATCTTATGCACTTGATTAGAGCCACAGGTTTAAATTACCTCAAAAACTCAAATAAACCTGTGTCCCTGTCACATGAAAAAAATAAATAAACCACAGTACTTGTACACAAATCACATTTTCTAAACTATAGATTAATGTAAATAACCTATTTATAATTGTAAGTTTGTAAATTATCACATTTATTGTTATCTGTGTTACTTTTTTAAAATTATAGTAGAAACTTGATTATCCAAAACAGTTTCAAAAAATATAAAATAATAACTAGAATATGTAGCATTGTGCATACCACATAATACAGTCAACTCATGTTAATACAAATCTCTAGGAAAACAGTTGTTGGTTTGCTTTATTGAAAATTTGTATTAACAATTTTCAGGGCAAGACCAAGGTTGTTTAATTTAGGGAGTTAAGGCCAATAAGCAATTTAAATTATAACATTTTGAATTAAATTACTAAATAAAGTTAAAAAAGATTAAATTTATTTACAAATACAAATTAATGTTTTAATTGATTTTCAATTCAAACAAAATGAAGAGGAGATGGTATTTGTCATTTAAAAATGGGGCAGTATATCAGAGTTGTTAAATAAATCAACACTGAAAGAAATTGTGAATTTTTTCTGTTGAATATTGTCTGAAAAAGTATAAAAAAAATTTTTCAATTACAAATGTCATATTTAGATATTCATCTGTGTCACTTAAACTGCAGATAGCAGTTAGTGATGTCTGTTGCATCCTTGAAAGAAGGCTTAAACAGCTGAACGTCATTATCAATCTCACTTTCATCGAGCAACATTCTGACTAGTCCTGATACTCTTGTGCAGAGTATGATGTATGAGTTTGAGTTATGTTAACAGTGGTAAACAGTGCTGGATTAAGCCTCTAGCAGGCCCTAGACAAAATTTAAATTGGGCCCCATTTAAATTACTGTAGTTGCTTCTAAAGAAATCTTAAATAATATCACTTAAAAATTTTTTTAATAATAAAAAATACAAATACTAATATGATATTTTTATTTTTATTATTCAGTTTTTGTTTGTTTGTTTTTATTTTTTCTGTACTGAAGCCAGATCTCTCCAAATTACAGACCCTAGACATTTGTCTTATTTGTCTATTGCTTAATCTGGCTTTGGTATTACATGTGTATCCAAAATGTTGCCAAGGTGCCATTTTTTTTTCCAAAACAGTAAAAAAAAGGAGCCAAATTTGGTGCAAAGTAGCCAAACCTGGCATCATTGTACATACTCTGACATACAAACTTATGCATGTTTCCATGCGACCATATCCATTTAAAGGAATGGGTGTCTTTAAACTTTAATTCCTATTTTCTGAGTATAGTAGAATGATTGATAAAACCAGATGTTTGGATTGCTCTACAATTGGAGGTCGAACTTGTCTGTTTACTAGGAGAACAAAATCTGTTCTACTTAAAATGGAATATTTATTACAGTACCACTTTTTATTGTTTAATTTGAAAAGTATAAAAAGCAATCATTATTGGAAATAGTTATTTCTTTGGGGTTGTGGAGGTAATTTACAGTTTGGTTTAACAAATTTTGGTAAAATTTTTGTTGGCTTTATAATATGAAAATTAATGTTGTGACAATGGCATTTTGCCAGAGCAACAGCAAAATTTGCTTTATCAATGTTCATTTTAAGGTGAGTCAACTGTACACAGACCAAATTCTTCATGTAACTGGAATTACTGTTGTTTGTTGATTGTGGTGATGTGAAACTAGGTCATATATATGGAACATTACATTAGATTTTGAGTAAATTAATTTAGTTTTAAATACAGTAATTACATTTTACTATTTAACACAAAAACAAACAAATTTCTACATTATCCAAAAGATTCATGGACCCATCAAATTCAGATAATAGTTTTCACTGTATTTTTTGGTTTTTATTTAATGATTTCTTCAGCTGCTCACATCAACACATAAAAAGACAAATTTTGAAAAAATAAACCCATTGATTCAAATAACTTTGAAGACTTGAATCTGTGAGTGGGTAAAATCCATCTTGGGTGGATTGAAACCTATACCCCAAATTGATTTTAAAAAATAGATCTACAGTGGGTCTATTTGAGTGCATAAGGTGACTATTAGGTAATGCAAAGTGAATGCAATGTAAATATAGATAGGGTTCCTATACACTTAAAAAGTGATGGAAAATCAGGGAAAGTCCGGGATTTTCATTAGTGTTCAGAAAAAGTCATGGAATGTCAGGGAATTTGTTAAAAATTGTCAAAAAATCAGGAAAAGTCAGGGAATTTGCTTCCTTGGCTGTTTTGATTTTTTGCTGACAATATGCTTGACTAAGAGTAGCAGTCTGCAGGCATTAAGAAGTAATGTGGCGCAATACAACTTATGAAAAAGAGTGCAGAATATGTTCAGGACTGAAAATTTCTCCTCCCAAGTTTCCTAAACACACAGTTACACAAAATTTTCCCCAAAATTTACAAAGTACACAAAATGATAAATAATTTAAATGGTATTTTTTATCATTTTTCATTTTAATAATTTTGATTGCATAACAAAACAATTTCTAATTTTTTTAGTTTATTAATATTTTATAAACTTCAGGAAATTTATTAAGAGATAAATTTAATAAATATATACTTTTGTACATGGATTATATAAAATTTGTTAATGAATAATAAAAAAATAATTGTTTTTTTTCTTTTTTTCAAAGCATTGTAGATTTATGGTTGTGGATTAATAACAGAATTTTAATCAAACATTTTATTTTTAATTTTAATAATTTGGTGATTATAAAAAATATATAACTGTTAATTAGAAAAATAACTAATTATAATATTGGCGAAGCAAAACATACGTGCATAAGAAGTCAAATGTTTTATTTTGCCAATGTGCCATACTCTAAGGGACATGAGGGTCAGGGAATTTGTACGAAGTTGGTTGGGAAGTCAGGGAAAGTCATGGAAATTAAAACAAAAATTTGAGTAGGAACCCTGTATAGAATGTTTTCTTATATTACAAAAATATGAAAAATTATTTCTTTCAAACAAAATTTAGTCAAGAAAAAAATGTTCCATTATTTTCTGAATATTTGTTGCAACTTTTATTAATGTAAAATAATTTTATTTATATAATTTTTATACTTTAAGATATAATAATCTAATGTAATAATAATAATTTTTGTAAATATTTATTTTTTTAATTTATTTATAAAAATTTTTGTAGCCATGGTGAATGCCCTTCAGAAGAACAAACTCAAACATTTATAAGAGTATGCCATAATTTTATTTCAAAGAATCCTCTGGACATTATAGGTTTGATAATTTTTAAACATTACATTTTAAAAATAAGTTACGATTTATTTATGTATGAAATTAATGTATTACGTTTACTAAATCTACTAATTTTTATTTTATATTTGTACAAATTTTCTTATAAATTCATTTAGAGAATAGGAAGCATGACAAAATGATACACTAGACCAGTGTTTCTCAACGGGGGCGATATCGCCCCCATGTGGGCGTTTCTCCATGTTGAGGGGTGATTAGTAACAATTTATAATTTGGGGGGCGAAAAACACTTTTCTGGGCGATATAGTAAAACATTATATTAAGAATAATTAGATATTTTATTCGTTATATTGTACAATAATTAAACAAATAACATTATACTAGTCACTAGTCTATTCAATGCAGTACGAATTTGGTGTTAGCTTTGGCCCTCCGCTTGGAATTTTGAAGTGAAGAGGGCGATACTACGTTGAAGGGGGCAATGATTCGTTAGAGGTTGAGAAACACTGCCCTAGACCCTCGATTTAATGGACTAATTGGGGGAAAGGGAATTCCACTATTGTTGAAAGTTCGTTAAATCAAGCATGTTTTAAAAACATGTATTAATAACAAACTGAAAATGTGAAAGAGGTGTTAAAATATTGTTATGAAGTAAAGGGATGAATAAAATAATAATATAATGTTCAAGGTACTGGTACATTGAATAATTTGTACTCATAGACTCAACCCCACCTTTTAGTGTACTCAATTCACAAATAAAAAAAAGGTTTTAAAATTTTTGTTTGACAAACCAGGATCTGTTAAATTGAGCATCTACTGTACTTTTTTTTTAATGATGGTATCGAAGTATTAAAGTAGTAAACATATAATTAAATTTTTATTAGCCAGTAATGTTTTAAGTTATTTATTATGACTATTTATTATATTAAAAAACTAGAAGGAAATTATAAAAAATGCAATAAGATTCTGTATTATTCTTAAAACTGTTAAATATTTTCTGAAGATTTTTATGAATTACTAAAATAAATTTAAGCAATGATATATTAAAAAGTTTCTTTCCTGTATTACAAATTCTCAAAATAATAGTTGACTAGAACCAATGAATCAGTTATTGTTTGTAAAATCCAGTCGAAAAGGGCCTGACAGCATGAAATGCATATTGGACAAATAAAGAGTTAAATTTGCTATGAGTGTAATAAGCCTGATTCATTGGTTCTAGTTAACTATTTGTAAAATTAAGTAATGATGTTTAGTTTCAAGTAGCATCATTTAATGTATAATATTATTATATTATATTCAGTATTATTATTGAACAATTCAGGTTTATTTACTGTTTAATCTTTAAATAAATTAATGATTTTTACTCTTTTTAATTATACCTTCAGTTTTTATTATAAATTTTATGTCTAAAACTTAAGTAATAACTTAAATGTGTTGATTGCAGTAAATCACAAATATAGGATTATTCAGAAAATGATAAACTATTTAAAAAATTTAATGCTCAGAAATCAAATAAGATTTATTATTGGAAAAAAGTTGTTACTACGGAACACTTCCAAGTTTTTTCACAGCCTAAAAACTCTCAATACGACTTTATTTATAGCTTATTATTGGAAATGTCTGCAAAATTTGCACAACTGATGCATAGCCTCAGTTCTAACATTTTGCAAATAATGTGTTATTTGTACACTACTCTGAAGTTCACAATTTGCAAAGGTGATCACTTCTTAAGGCTGCAAATAAACAACTATCACATTCTATTGTTTCTGCGTGCATAGGACTAACTTGATAGTTCTAAAAGCGTGATATGTTTCTTAATTTATTACCACAAACTGCACTGTTGTCTTACATAATAGTTTCATAATAAACATTTTTAATAAAAATAATTCATGTTTTTTGAATGACTCTGTATATACAGTAGAGCATCGATTATCTGACTCAATTGGGGACTCAGGTTAGTCGGATAACTGAAAAGAAGGGAAAAAATACATTATTAGTATAGTATATTAGGATATTAGTATATCCCATGTAATTAGTTTATTAATATATCGCTATTAACCAACTTTACGTTGAATTTTCATCAATGTTTAGCCTAACAAATTTTTAAAAAAATAATAAACGTCGCTATTGTATCGTTAAAAATTATTTTAAAATTATTTTATTGCTCACAAAACAAACAACCACTCATAATTAGAAAATTAAGCCTCGTTTAAATACTGGTCTCCCTTTCATGGTTGAGCAATGTTGCTAGCTAAAACACGCAAAAATTTAACAAAAATAATATTAAAGTAGCCAAGACATAACCAAATATTGTAATGCCACATCACTAGCGGACATTTGAAATTTTCCAACTAGAACAGTCAGTTAACCGATGTGACGGTTAATCGGGAGTCGGATAATCGATGCTCTACTGTATATCTTTCTCTACCATTAATTTCAACTTTCCTATGATCTTATTCATACTGATTTGACTTGATCAGATTGTCAGATGGCTTTTCTAAAAAATGGAACTTAACCTGAATTTTATCTTTCTTATTTTTTTTTATTCTTAGCTTTTGATCATTTTCTTTTAATTGGGAGAAGACTATACACTTGTCAAAATTAAGTTAAAATTTAACTTTCAAATGAATTAATCACTAAATCATTAATGGAACATGAACATTTGTGTTCCATTAATGCATTCCAAGTATCTGATGAATGTAATGATATATTATAAAAAAATATTAGCAATAAATATAGTTTAGTCTTTAACTTTGTTGTTTTCCTATTTATTTGATTTTTATAACATTGTAAGACAATTTCTGCTACATTGTGCCAAATGTTTCATGTGTTGCTATTGTTTATGATGTTTCATTACTTCAGGCTACATAGTATATTTGCAAACATACACTGTATTTTCACAGATTGTCTGGCATGTTGCTCTATCTGGGGAGACCATGAAATCAGATATTTCTGTATGGTAAAAATCAGAATGCCGGTTTATCCCAGGGAATGCCAGTATGCCAATTTAAGTCAGATTAAACATTCCTCTTCAGAAAGTGCATGATTTTTTCATGTGTTACAACAATGAACGAGTTACATTACATGGTATTTCATAGACATTAGTTTTTATTCTAAAACTGTAAAACTATCAGCATTACATCAAAAACTATGATTATATGTTTAATTTCTGCATTTTATCATTTTTCTAACAATGTAAAATACTCATGGAATGCCAAAAGTGTTTATTTTTATGTTCATTTTAATGTAACTTGATCCAAAAACTCAAACATATCAATTTTCATAAACTTGCTTTAAATTATCTCAACTACACTAATTAACATCTGCTTTGTGTGAAATTTGAGAGGTGGTGTTATCTTTCAAGGTCAGGGTAGAATGTCAGTGCAGCCCCCATTGACTTACTACTACTGCTAATGTCAATAAAACTGCTAATTGTTTTATTGCCCTGTAAACAAAAAAATCTCTCTAGTCAGTCAAATTACAATGTTGTTATATTATTATACTGGGAAAAACGTTTTCTTTAACATTTAATTAACAACTAATTTTGTTAGATCTGATTAATTTTACTTTTTATTTGCAGTTTAACTGGCATGCCAGTCTCCTCCAGATATATGTGGCATGCTGGTCAATCTGTGAAAATACGGCATATGTATAGCAACTAATTTATTACTAATTATAAATATTTCACAAGAAACAATTATTGCTTTTTTAATATGAATATAATTTTATATACTATCTATTTTAGGTGTTCATTGTACACATGGATTCAATCGAACTGGCTTTTTAATTGTTGCTTATTTAGTTGAAGTGTTTAACTGGAGGTAAATAATGATAATTTTTAACAGAATAATAATCATATTATATGTTGTTATTACAGTTAAATAAATAAATATGTATAATTATGTTGATATACATTCATTAATGTTTTAATAATAATGATAATAATTTTGTTAAAAGTTTTTTTTGGTTGCATTTTATTTAAATTTTCACAAAGAATTTATTCTAAATTACAGTATTGAAGCTGCTTTAGATGAATTTTCAAAAGTAAGTAAACACATTGATTCCAGACTTTATTCATAGCCTCTGTATAGGAAATTAATATAATAATAATTTTATTTATTATACAGTAGTAAGTTTTAATATTAAATTTTTCATTAGAATCATGAATTTTTAAATATGGAATATTTAAATTTTAATAAAATAATTATGTAGGAACAAGTTTAATTTATTGGCAAATATATTTATATTGTAAGAATTCTGTAACAGTTTTAAAGTGATACCCAATATTTCTTTTATTTTCTTTTGTGTAAAATTATAGTAAAATAGATTATACATTAAATTGCCTTGAATAGTTCAATGCTTTAAATATTAAACATATTAAACTTTCTGAAGAGGTCTGTCTCATAAATTTTCTTATATGAATGGTGGATGGCAAATTTATTGATCACGCATAGGGCTTTAGTTTATAATTATTATGATATTTACATTGAAATTGATAAATTAAAAAATAATCAATTTTGATGTGACTATTAAAGTAGCTATGATTCTAAAAAATGCCAGATTTTTATAAAGAATATAATACAGTAATACCCCGAAGTTACGTGATACGTGGGACCAAGCGATAACCGCGTATGTCAAATTTGCATAAGTCGGGGTATAATTTCGCAATTTGTGTAAAATCCAAGTCGGATATATGTAAGCTTATAAATGTTCTCGTTATCTTATCTCGTCTTTTGATTCGTTCATGGTTACAAGAAATCACCACATAGTCTCTCAAGTCTCCGTAGATATAACAAACACAGGAATAAATAACACAAACTAAATTGTAGCTATGTATCGATTCTGCGCGACATGTTCGAACATGTAAGCCGAACAATAGTGTGGGGGGAGTGAGTAATTAAGAGTTGCATGGCGCTCAAATGAGACAAATTGACGAGATTTAAAAATTGCATAACTCCGGGTTCATGTAAGTCAAGGTATTACTGTATGCTAATTTTTTTTTAAATATTTGCATGAATTACTAAGTAAAATATATTTTTAAAAAGTAGTAAGTTAGAATGTAATATTTGCGGATTTAATTAAATAGTTCAATTTTAATCAGCATTGCATTAAAATAAAAATTTTCATTATTAGTTAATTATCAATTAATTAAAATAAATAAATTGTTAATTTAATAGCTGAAAAACTTTCATTGTTTCAATAACTGAATTCAGAATGTTACAGCTACTTATGCATTTCCTGTTTTTATGGAATAGATTAGTGTTTCTCTACCTTGAGTATGTGTACTCCCGGGGCACAAAACATTTCCAGGTTNATTATTAATTTAATAGCTGAAAAACTTTCATTGTTTCAATAACTGAATTCAGAATGTTACAGCTACTTATGCATTTCCTGTTTTTATGGAATAGATTAGTGTTTCTCTACCTTGAGTATGTGTACTCCCGGGGCACAAAACATTTCCAGGTTATCTGGTCTCAAATTTTGTGAGTAGCAACACAAATGTTTTGAAACTATCATATGGTATCAATTCATTGATTGAGACAATTTACTGAATGAGTTTATGTCATGTGACACTCCAAACACATTCATGTTGCTATTTGCAAAAGTTGAGACTAAGCTCCCAGGAAATATAAAGAAATGTGTAATGTCTGCACAAATGTAATTTAAAGTAGCAATTTTTTTAAAATTTATACCTAGCCAATACAGATTTTTCACATCTAAATCTTAAAAAGCTGTTAACTTTAAATTTTTTTTTTATTAGACTTTACAATATTTTACACATTTCTGAAGGTCTAGGTTCAGTTATTTTTATTTAATTCTATATTGGTTGACCTTATGAGATATTTGGTAAGGACTAGAAGTATTTTGACTGGGAAAGGTTTTTTTTTTTTTTTTTTTTCTTTTGTTGCCATTCCTGGTAAAGATAGTCAAAAAATTTTTCTTCAATATTCATATTTGTTTCTCATTGGCAAAAATGGTGAATGGAAGCAAAAACCATGTAAAACTTTACTTATTGTAGTCAGAGTATATTGTTATCATCAAGTATCTAGACATTCTTAACACTTTCAGAGTAGTTCATTTTTAAGCATATCTTCTCTTAGGCCAGTAATTTATTTGATTTCATGTAAGATTAGAACAAGTTTCTTAATTGACCCTATGATATGTGTTCTTTAGGAACAGTTGTAGAAACAGAAATAATAATATAGAACAAAGGAAAAATACAGTCCCTTAAAAATTATTCTACCTCTAACAGGAATTTAAACCGATCTGATACTATAGTAACAGGACCAACATGACATGATGTTAGGCTTAACAAAATCAGGTTTCTCAGAACATGTTGGGACTTTTCGTGACATCCGGGGACTTGCAGTCTATAAAAATTTGAGCTTTATGCAGTATTTGTCTCATCATGTGACTTATGATTTGCAATTTATATCAGTTTTTGTTATTAGTGTTAATTAGTGCTTTAAACATTAATTGTTTTAATCATTATTTTTTCATACTACACTAGTACAAATTGATCACATTTCTTCAAGTTTACATCATCTGTGTCATTATAGATATACTGTGGAAAACAGCAGACAATCAACACTAGACAAATTACTTTTAATCAATAATAATAACTATAATTAATTGTTGAATTTACTAATTGTAGCTGTATTATTTGTTCAGTGAATGCTTGTCTCTTTAATCATTTGGTAGACTATCTTACAGGGGTCAAAGATGGAGCCAGGACTGTCTGAATTAATAATGAAAGAGGTGGACGAAAAAATACAAAACATTTCTGGGGTAAAAACTGTAATGTGATATGTAGATGACTATTTGTTAGTGTTTAATAATCAAATAACAAATGATAAAATAATTCTCAACACAGTAAATAGTATAACTGAGGATATAAAATTTGATATAGAACTTGAAAAAGGTAATAAAATTAATTTTTTAGATATAACAATAACAAATGAAAACGATAAATTTTTGTTTAAAACTTATAAAAAACCATCCAATGTAAATAAAACAATAAACTACCACTCTTGTATACCAGATAACATAAAAAGAATACATATATAATGGAGTTAAAAAATATACACACAAGAACTACCAACAAAAAGGACCGAAAAATTGAATTAAATGAATTAGAACAAAAATTCATTCTGAACAGTTATCCCGAGAAAACTTTAAAAATTTAGAAAGCACAGTATTATAAAAATAGATTTAATATAAAAAATAAAAAAGACAAACTATACAAAGACTTCCCATACATCACTAACATTTATGATAATTGTAATAAAATACTTAAAAAAAGAGAATGTAGTCTTGGCCCCAGCTTTGACCAATAAAATTTCAAATAAAGTACATATTGATAGATTGAAAATATATAAGACTAATAGTGATAAATTGAAAAAAATAGATGATGTCTATAAAATCAACTGTAATTGCCAAAATTCAAAAAATTATATAGGTGAAACAGAATGTGCTTTAGAATTACAGATCAAAAAACATGAGGCAGCCATTAGATTAAAGTATAACAACTCTCCTTGGTATAACCATATCACAAATAGTAACTGTAATATTGATAGAAATAATATTAAAATCCTGCATGTAGAGAAAAATACATATAAAAGAAAGTTTAAAGAACATATTGAAATTATAAAACATAATGACAATAATTTAATAAATATCTCTAATGGCATACAAGATAAACAACTGTGGTACAACATTATATAAAGACGTGAAAATAAACCAGTAAATTGTTTTGTAAAACCAAGCACTGAATGTATGTAAAAGTTATTGTGTGTAAATTACCATTTAAGGATTTATACAACACATAACTATTGTTTAGTGTTAGAATGGAATATTTTTAAAGGATATAACTGAAAAACCTGTATGTATATTTTTGTAAAAAGCTTTTCAAAAGTTTTTATATTACTTATTTGTTACTGAGTTTTTTTATTATATTATTACTTATAGCAACATTATTTCATTGTAATGCATTTTATGCCCAAAAAGATATTTTAACATTGTAAATAGAAGTACCATATGAGTATAACAATTTAGCTGAGTGAAAAAAAGTGGGTGAAGTTCTTAAAGGTATTGTAAAAAGTGTTTCCTTGTGTTACTTGATATTTCTACTCATCTATATATATATATAAAAATGAATGTGTGTGTGTGTCTCCTTCATGCATTACCACACCGTTTATCCATTGCCGTGAAATTTTGGGACGTTCCTGCAAAGGTTTCTGGCATGGTGCATTTATCCTACAATAGATGGCATGCGTGTATACGAGCATTTTACTGTGTGTTCGATTGATTTCAAATTGTGAAGACCATTTCCCCTCTCCAAAAAATATCTGTATATATGCATTTGTTATTTATGATATTTGTAATAATTTTTGTTTAATCACTTTATTTTAACTTTTTTTTGCTAATTATGTATTTGCTCGAACTTTGTTAAAACCTTAACTGTATCCCAAACAACAACGGAAGTTGTAGAAGGAAATTCGCCTATTTTACCAATCTAGGGATCCCCCTTTTCCAAATTTTAATATCAACTCAAAATAATTTAAAAAGACAAATTACAATAAAACGGTTTATTATCCAACTATCAGAAATTTCACAACATGCCAAGGAAGAGAGGAAGGAGCAATTAAATAATCAAAATTATAAAGGATTAAAAATCTATATATATAAAAATGGACATGTATGTCCTTATATTTCACTTTTTCGCCAAAATTACACATCGCACGTGAATGGTGTTTGTATGTGGTGGTAGCCCCAAGTCTCCATTCGTGCATAGGGGTGGTTGCGTCTTGATAGCTATAAGGGTGCGGGAGATATGAGGCTGAAAGTGGTTGAAAATGGCTTTCTATTTTGAATGTTTTGTTCGAATTTGTTCGAATTAAATTCATACATAAAATTCGAATATTGGTTTGATTATAGAACGATTGTAAACGTTCCAGAAACGTTGAAAATTGTTTGTTTGACTAAACGTAAAAATTCTCTAATTAGTCTGGAAACGGGGGACCTAATTCTTGCATTCTGTGAAAATGGGTAAGATTAGCTATAATGTAATTATCTTAATCTTCACTATCGTTACTTTTTGCCCAGCGAAGCGGGTCCGTGCAGCTAGATTCTAGATTACTTAGAAAAACAGTTTTTTATATATATTACATACAAATGTACGAATAAATAAAAACCCAGCAAAGAGGGTCCTTGCAGCTAGTATATATATAAAAATGGGGAATATCGCACTTTTGACAATCGCTGCAAGTGTATGGGCTAAATTTGGAGAATCCGTGCTTCTCGCATGTACAACTGTATGTGGCCAGCTCGCGTCGGAAAACCTTCTGATTTATTCATGCATGCACCAGACAGAAAAACAAAAAATATTGTGTATCCACAAACACTCCAATAAATAAATAGAATTGAAATGACACTTTGAAATGTTTTCCCGATGAAAATGAATAATAATAATAAATTTCAATAAAAATGATAAAATGTAAATTGAATTTTATCATAACGAGTTTGTTTGAATTTCGTTTCTTCTGAGATCGCAGCAATGCGCAATGGGTAAGCTAGTGTTATTATATTTGTCAACTCAATGTTTGTAATGTGTACTTCCTGTAGCACTGAAGAGTGACTAGAAAAATAAAACTAGCCCAAAATGTATATGTGAAAATACAATAAAAGAGTTTCTTAACCTGACTTACTGTAAGATAGTCTGCCAAAAGAATTATTTCGGATTAAAGAGACAACCGTTCACTGAACTATAATTAATAAATCTTTAAATTATACATTTTGTAATTGTTTTAATATGCCTTTTTCTGGCATTTTTTTAGAGTCAATAAAATCAGAATTTTTATTATTTGTCTTTTGTTTACCTACATCACTTAATGTAATCAGTCAATTATTACTATCTGTATAGATGAGTGATTACAATAAGAAGGTTCTACTGTATTAATATTAAAATATATATACTACAGTATCTTAATTTATTTAAATTATGAATCTAAGACGACTTCAAGAATGAATGAGTTTAAAAAACAATTTAAACAGTTTAAACAATTTTGTATTTATTATTAGAAGTAAAAGTATCTTATTAATTATAATTTACTTAATCGACAAAAATATTTCTAGATTAGATGTCAAACTATTGTCAATTCTATCACTATTGTGAACTATCAGAAAAATCAAAACACAGATTTAATTAAAAACAGATAATTATTGTATATGTTGAGTAAGAGTTTTATAATTTGATTTTTATAGTATAAATTTAAATATTATAATTTAATTGATTAATTTTTTACAAAAAACACATATGTATTTCAATGTCTATAATTATAATATAAAATTTTTAAATAACATTTTAGGCTCGACCTCCTGGTATTTATAAAAGTGATTATTTAACAGAACTTTACACACGATATGGAGATCCGGCTGATACTCCTCCAGCTCCTCCATTGCCTGAATGGTGTAATGGTAAATATTTTATCTTTCATGGTTTTCATCTGATTAAATTTCTCATAATTTGACTTCTTCTCAATTAAATGTAAATACATTATTGCAAAGGTTTATAACAGTGTATTGCATAATACATTTTTATAATAAACTGTCAAACATTCAAAAGTAAATATTTTAAAACATAAACTAAAACAATAAGTCTTTATTGAATGGAAATTTTCGGAAATCTTTAGAATCTGAAGTAAAAAAAAATTGAACAATATAATGAAATTTTTCAATCTAACAAAGCATGAGACTATCAAAAGTAGAGATGAAAATCAAGTAAAAGTATACATCAAGAATAACTAATAATTTATATTTATGAGATGCTTTATTTGATTCCTTAGAAATTTGATCCTAAAATAAATTAAATAGTAATGAGAAAGGAAAAAAATGGTTTTAACATTCTCAAAAATGAGATTAAAATGTTTTAAAATGTAGACACATAACAAATGATGATAACTTATGTTTTAAATGTTTTATGTTTATGTTAAGAGTTAAATGGAACAAAATTTCTTTAATTAACTCCTTAAGCCCTGAACAATTTTTGATATTAATGTAATTAATCATAAAAAATACTTAAAACTGAAAAAAAACGAAAGAAATGCGTTAATTTTGAAGAAAAAGCTTCAAACTTTATTTTCCTTTGTCTCGCCTTTCTGTGAAATTTGACACCAATGAGTCATTGTTTACACAGCTGGATGACCTTGAGAACAGCTGGAGTCAGATTTCCCGGGACATTCTCTCAGATATCTCGAGAGGACAAGGGTTTAAAGTAGGGTGACTACTAACTAGGCCTATATTTTTAAATATTTTTAAAAAATTAAAAATTTTATTGTGATTTCCAACCCCCCCTAATTAATTAAATTTATATAAAATAAAATATATTAATTTAAAAAATTTAAAAACTATTGGAGGTGGTTTTCGACATCAGAAAGCAGCTNCCTATTTTACCAATCTAGGGATCCCCCTTTTCCAAATTTTAATATCAACTCAAAATAATTTAAAAAGACAAATTACAATAAAACGGTTTATTATCCAACTATCAGAAATTTCACAACATGCCAAGGAAGAGAGGAAGGAGCAATTAAATAATCAAAATTATAAAGGATTAAAAATCTATATATATAAAAATGGACATGTATGTCCTTATATTTCACTTTTTCGCCAAAATTACACATCGCACGTGAATGGTGTTTGTATGTGGTGGTAGCCCCAAGTCTCCATTCGTGCATAGGGGTGGTTGCGTCTTGATAGCTATAAGGGTGCGGGAGATATGAGGCTGAAAGTGGTTGAAAATGGCTTTCTATTTTGAATGTTTTGTTCGAATTTGTTCGAATTAAATTCATACATAAAATTCGAATATTGGTTTGATTATAGAACGATTGTAAACGTTCCAGAAACGTTGAAAATTGTTTGTTTGACTAAACGTAAAAATTCTCTAATTAGTCTGGAAACGGGGGACCTAATTCTTGCATTCTGTGAAAATGGGTAAGATTAGCTATAATGTAATTATCTTAATCTTCACTATCGTTACTTTTTGCCCAGCGAAGCGGGTCCGTGCAGCTAGATTCTAGATTACTTAGAAAAACAGTTTTTTATATATATTACATACAAATGTACGAATAAATAAAAACCCAGCAAAGAGGGTCCTTGCAGCTAGTATATATATAAAAATGGGGAATATCGCACTTTTGACAATCGCTGCAAGTGTATGGGCTAAATTTGGAGAATCCGTGCTTCTCGCATGTACAACTGTATGTGGCCAGCTCGCGTCGGAAAACCTTCTGATTTATTCATGCATGCACCAGACAGAAAAACAAAAAATATTGTGTATCCACAAACACTCCAATAAATAAATAGAATTGAAATGACACTTTGAAATGTTTTCCCGATGAAAATGAATAATAATAATAAATTTCAATAAAAATGATAAAATGTAAATTGAATTTTATCATAACGAGTTTGTTTGAATTTCGTTTCTTCTGAGATCGCAGCAATGCGCAATGGGTAAGCTAGTGTTATTATATTTGTCAACTCAATGTTTGTAATGTGTACTTCCTGTAGCACTGAAGAGTGACTAGAAAAATAAAACTAGCCCAAAATGTATATGTGAAAATACAATAAAAGAGTTTCTTAACCTGACTTACTGTAAGATAGTCTGCCAAAAGAATTATTTCGGATTAAAGAGACAACCGTTCACTGAACTATAATTAATAAATCTTTAAATTATACATTTTGTAATTGTTTTAATATGCCTTTTTCTGGCATTTTTTTAGAGTCAATAAAATCAGAATTTTTATTATTTGTCTTTTGTTTACCTACATCACTTAATGTAATCAGTCAATTATTACTATCTGTATAGATGAGTGATTACAATAAGAAGGTTCTACTGTATTAATATTAAAATATATATACTACAGTATCTTAATTTATTTAAATTATGAATCTAAGACGACTTCAAGAATGAATGAGTTTAAAAAACAATTTAAACAGTTTAAACAATTTTGTATTTATTATTAGAAGTAAAAGTATCTTATTAATTATAATTTACTTAATCGACAAAAATATTTCTAGATTAGATGTCAAACTATTGTCAATTCTATCACTATTGTGAACTATCAGAAAAATCAAAACACAGATTTAATTAAAAACAGATAATTATTGTATATGTTGAGTAAGAGTTTTATAATTTGATTTTTATAGTATAAATTTAAATATTATAATTTAATTGATTAATTTTTTACAAAAAACACATATGTATTTCAATGTCTATAATTATAATATAAAATTTTTAAATAACATTTTAGGCTCGACCTCCTGGTATTTATAAAAGTGATTATTTAACAGAACTTTACACACGATATGGAGATCCGGCTGATACTCCTCCAGCTCCTCCATTGCCTGAATGGTGTAATGGTAAATATTTTATCTTTCATGGTTTTCATCTGATTAAATTTCTCATAATTTGACTTCTTCTCAATTAAATGTAAATACATTATTGCAAAGGTTTATAACAGTGTATTGCATAATACATTTTTATAATAAACTGTCAAACATTCAAAAGTAAATATTTTAAAACATAAACTAAAACAATAAGTCTTTATTGAATGGAAATTTTCGGAAATCTTTAGAATCTGAAGTAAAAAAAAATTGAACAATATAATGAAATTTTTCAATCTAACAAAGCATGAGACTATCAAAAGTAGAGATGAAAATCAAGTAAAAGTATACATCAAGAATAACTAATAATTTATATTTATGAGATGCTTTATTTGATTCCTTAGAAATTTGATCCTAAAATAAATTAAATAGTAATGAGAAAGGAAAAAAATGGTTTTAACATTCTCAAAAATGAGATTAAAATGTTTTAAAATGTAGACACATAACAAATGATGATAACTTATGTTTTAAATGTTTTATGTTTATGTTAAGAGTTAAATGGAACAAAATTTCTTTAATTAACTCCTTAAGCCCTGAACAATTTTTGATATTAATGTAATTAATCATAAAAAATACTTAAAACTGAAAAAAAACGAAAGAAATGCGTTAATTTTGAAGAAAAAGCTTTAAACTTTATTTTCCTTTGTCTCGCCTTTCTGTGAAATTTGACACCAATGAGTCATTGTTTACACAGCTGGATGACCTTGAGAACAGCTGGAGTCAGATTTCCCGGGACATTCTCTCAGATATCTCGAGAGGACAAGGGTTTAAAGTAGGGTGACTACTAACTAGGCCTATATTTTTAAATATTTTTAAAAAATTAAAAATTTTATTGTGATTTCCAACCCCCCCTAATTAATTAAATTTATATAAAATAAAATATATTAATTTAAAAAATTTAAAAACTATTGGAGGTGGTTTTCGACATCAGAAAGCAGCTTTAAATAACTTTACCGAAGAAAAAAGACTTAAAAAACATTCCAAAAATTCAAAAACAAAAAAAAATTTTTCAAAACTCCCCTTAAGGACCACGTTTTATGTAATGTTATGTAACTTGCTCGAGATATCTCGGGTTTGGGGCTTAAGGGTAAATTAAATTTAATTAATTAATTAACTTAAATTTAAATTAATTAAGAAGAAAATAGAGTTCACTTAAGGCTTAACTGTTAATTCAGTTCATAACTGTTAACACTATTTGAATTGTCATTGATGTAATCATAAATATTTTTAATGATGTCATTCAAAAATCATTTCAAAATACTGTGTTTTCTTAATCTAAAATTAGGAGCTTATTACTGTTGTTGTCCCTATTTATTAGTGCATTATTTATTGAAATTTTCATAATTATTTTTAATCAGATTATCAAAATCAAAACTTGAAAAAAGAATTGATTCCTCATAAGATATTAATTTTTGGTAATGGTCACAAAGTATTTGTAAAATATTTTAAAGTTATGGTTTGCATAATAAATTTCATTTAAGTTACAACAGAGTTTTATAACATAGTAAAAGAATTTTTATGTTTTGATAAATTTGAAGATTCTCATTATTGGTAGAAATCTAAAAATGATCTAGTAAAGACAGCAGAACTTTATCATGTATTAGAACTTAAAATTTGGCATTTTGTAAATTAGTTACATTTATTTTTACTTTCTTAGTTGTTATATATAACTTAGGGAAAGTATGGCAATTGGTCAAAAGTGACATCTCAAGAGTTTTAATTTTTGGACTCAGGACACCTTGAAACGGCAAGAAATGGAAAAAAATTCAGGGGTTTTTTCTGTATGTATGAGGGTGAGTGTGGTACGATTTTGTTCATCCTCTTTGAAGCTTAATAACTCCTGTGCTTTTTGTCAATTATTTTCAATATGTTGTTTTATACATTATCTTGGAAATATGCATGGATGTGAATTTCTCAATACAAGATTTAATACTTTTTAAAATTTTTAAATAACATTTTAGGCTCGACCTCCTGGTATTTATAAAAGTGATTATTTAACAGAACTTTACACACGATATGGAGATCCGGCTGATACT